TGAAAATAAGACCTAACCTGAAAATAAAGGCTAGTATGATTTTTCAAGATTCTTATATTATAAGACCTACCCCAAAATAAGCACTAGTTAAATGAAACCCCACCTTCCACCATTGTGCAGCAATCAGAAGAAGATGACGGTTGTATTTGAATAAATGTAGATTTTTGTACATGAAAAATATAAAACATCCCCTGAAAATAAGCCCTAATGCGTTTTTGGCACAGAAATTAATATAAGACCCTGTCTTATTTTCAGGGAAACACGGTAGCTCCTGGGTTTTGTGCCAAAATCAAATCTGGAGGCCTTTTCAATGTGTGCAGTCTTCTCTTTGCCCCTGGTCATCTCCATGTCATTCTTTCCTCCTGTTCCAAATGTGAGAATGAATAGTTTTTTTTCATCCAGCACGCAGCTGGACAACTTTTACATTCACTAGATAGTTTTTGGGTTTTTTTCTTTTCAAAGTTAATTATATCAAAAAATTTTGCCCAAAACCTCTGTCTCTGACATGCTAGTTTTCCATCAGCATTAAAAAAAACTGTCCCTGCACAGCCCTGTGTTTTTCCCTACCACTGTAGAACAAAATTAAACAAGAGCAGTTAACAGGACAAAACAGATGGAAATATACATAAACAGTGTGGAAAGCTACAACATCTTCTCCCCACTCTCCAAAAAATAATCAAATGATTCAGACCGTGGAGGGTTAAAATTCCTCAAAATAACTTAAGTCTTTCAACAGCAATTAAAATGTCTTGCCCATGAATTGATACACGTTAAAGCAGCAGATTTATAAACTGACATGATGAGTAACCTCAAACCACGTTTGCTTTTTCCATTTAAAAAAAAGAGTTAAAAAAAGAATACAGGTGATTCACACTTTCTTGAACTTTTGTTCCCTGTTAGTCTTGCCCCATTCAACAGCAACAGTGATGCTAAATACTTCAGATCACTAGTTACAGTCGTGCCCTGCTTAACGATTACCCCGCATCACGACGAATCTGCTTCATGACAATGTTTTTGCGATCGCAATTGCAATCACAAAACGATGGTCTAAATGGGGTTTTTTTCGCTTTGTGAAGATCGGTTCCCTGCTTCGGGAACCGATTCTTCGCATTACGATGATCACAACAGCTGATCGTCGGGATTTCAAAATGGCCACCGGGTGCTCAAAATGGCTCCCCACTGTGCTTAGGGATGGATTCCTCACTATCTAGGCACTGAAAATGGCCGCCATATGGAGGATCTTCACTGGATGGTGAGTTTTTAGACCACTGGAACACATTAACTGGGTTTTAATACGTTTCAATAGGTTTTTAAATTTCGCTTTACGACGTTTTCTCTCTACAGCGATTTCGCTGGAATGAATTAACGTCGCTAAGCAAGGCACCACTGTATATCCTAGAAACTCCAGACAGGAACAAAATTATAAGAAGGTGTAACAATGTAGCTGTTATCTGCAGTGAGGTTCAGCATTTCTGTCATTTATATAGCTTTTGAGGGCTTCTGTTTGGAAAACGGACGTATGAGGCAGGCATGCTCAACTTTTCATATGTTAGATTCACCAGTCACCTCTACCAGAGAATCTGTCTTCCCCAGTCCCCCATGACAGAAGCAAAAAGCTCATCTTTTCAGAGAAGGACATTTCTATTTTTGCATGCATTTGCTTATTATATTTACAATTTATGATGAGTTTTAAGGACAAAAGCACTGCAGTAGTATTGCTGGGAGCAAAATCAAACAAAAATGATAATTCCCTAGTAGCTGAAAACTAAATTTTTGATTATACATTTTATTGCTACAATGGCTGCAAATCCAAAGATAGCACATTTCAAAAAAGAGTAACATTGTATTGACAATATCGGCTTATTGCTATGACTAAAGATATTCGTAAACGAATGTGAATATCCCCGTCACTGGTGCGCCTAATTCAAGTCCAGCCCTTGGAACAGGACCGTCCACTCATGCTTTGCCGTCCCACAAACCTCCCACTCTTCTTGCCAATCATGAAAGTAGCTCTGCCATCTCCCTGCTCTGGTAGTCACTCCAGGCAGGGGGCGGAAGGACAAGTCTCCCCACACGGCTACTGAGTGGCTAACCAAGCAGGGAGACAGAGGAGCTACTTTTGCAACTGGTGAGAAGAGCAGGAGGCTGGCAGCACGGCAAAGTGTGAGCGGACAAGCCAGTTCTGAGGGCCAGACCATGTATTATGTGCACCTGGGATGGAGGTATTTGTATTCGTTTACAAAGACTAATATCTCCATCTCTAGCTATTACTTTTCTTTTATTATTTTATTTATATCCCACTTTTCTTTCTACAGGGATCCAAAGAGCTTTACAAAACGTTTTCTTAAAAAAACAAATACAGCTAAATAAATGCACCAAGGTTTCAATGTGATTGGTTATTTACTCGCACGAGAAAATGCAGAAGTTGGTGTAGCTTACTGATGAGGGTGCTGGTCATATATAAAAATCCTGTACCACACCTACACTACCTCTGTATCCCACTACTGGTGGGCATATAACTGGTTAAGAATCACTGGTTTGGAGAACTCTCTTTTTTTCCCCAGCTGTGAAAAAAAGATCCAGGGCATTGTTTTTCTTTGTAATACCAATAAAATTGATTGTATATATATCAAATTTTCGAATCTATGTTGGATATGTGGTCATTGTGTAGGTACTTATCTTCATCGATGGTGGGAATGTAAAACTATAATGAAATTTTGGAGGTTGGTTTTGACAGTAATTAATGGAATATTAGAGTTAAATGTAAATTAAGTCTTAGAATAGCACTGTTATTAATAGTTGATAAGTAACAAGTAAATTGGACAAGTAAAGAACTGCTAACAAATTCAAAAGACTCAATGTAGTTTTGGAATGGAAATGGGGCACCAATAGATGTAACATATCTTCAGATGGTTTGGGTGAAGGAGGCCATTGATAACTAACTGAATCCCTTAAGTTGTTTTGTGTATGTACATGTTAAGTTTTTTCATATTTTATTTTTGTATTTTATGTATTCTAAAGAAAAACTTTAGACTGTGGGGCTGGCCCTGGGGCTGGTATGGAAACTTCAGCAGGACCAGAACATGGTGACCAGACTACTGGGTGGGGTAAAGTAATATCAACACATTTCTCCCACTCTGGCTGCCCTGCACTGGTTATCTGTGCATTTCCATACCAGTTTCAAGGTGATGGCGTTAACTTACAAAACCTAAATGGTTTGGGACCATGATAACCTGGCAAAATGCCTGCTCCTGATTCGACCTGCCCATTCTATATGATCCATATTCAAGTATTATTAGTTAAATTCTGTTGCTATGTTTTCCTAATTCTGATTCATATTATTAAGTTTTGTTTTAATTGTTGTTAATGATATATTGTTCAACCATGTAAACCACTCAGAGTGGCCTTGGTAGCCAAATGGACAGTATAATCAATCAATCAATCAATCAATCAATCAATCAATCAATCAATCAATCAATCAATCAATCAATCAATCAATCAATCAATCAATCAAATAATGAATGAATGAATGAATGAATGAATGAATGAATGAATGAATGAATGAATGAATGAATGAATGAATAAATAAATAAATAAATAAATAAATAAATAAATAAATAAATAAATAAATAATGCATTCTCTTTTGGAATACAGAAGGCCATGTCTGCTGGTACATTCTAATTACACATTCTGTCTTTACAAATGTAGCTCAACCTCCATTATTTCTTTGTAAAAATATGCTAAAATCTAGATTATTTCATATATTTGTTTTCGATTAGTCCTATTCATTTTAAATGGGTACACTTTCATAATATATAAAAAACTTCCAATCTATTTCTGACATTTCTCTCGACCTTTCTTTTAGGAAATCCACAGGAGAGTTTTAGCTTCACAACACCCCTACGAGGTGTCTGAGACTAAGAAAGAAGCCATCCAGTGAGCTTTCTGAGAAGATCTGAAATATTTTCTGATGTATAAACCCCAAATTTATGCCATACAATCACACTCCAATATGACTGAAGAAAGTGTGGCATGAATTTTAAGTACATTATTCTCTGTAATGCCTAATTTAAGACCTTGCCATCAAATTGTGCATTAAAATAACTTATATGAGCCATTAATTCTAACATGTTTTTAAAAACAAGTGACACCTGCCAACTTACTCTTGACTAACACAATGCTCAATTCTATTTCTGTCCACTTATATAGCGCAGACTGTGCTCAGCCTGTTGCCCACCCACAATGGCCAAGCTTACCTTATTCTGCTTCCCCAATACCTAACCACACATATTTCTCAGACATAGACAAAACCAATATAAAATAGTAGACAGCATTAATGTGCTTGTGTCACATTTTTTTCTTCTACCCATTTTATAAGAAGTATGGAAATGACAAGGAAATAATTTTTTTAACTTTTCAACTCCCTCCCCTCATTTTTTTTGTTTGATCATCAAATATTCAAGTGTTGGGTAAATATTCACAAAGTAAAAGCCAACAGTATTTACTGCAGCAATCAAATAAATAAATAAATAAATAAATAAATAGATAGATAGATAGATAGATAGATAGATAGATAGAAATAAATAAATAAATAAATAAATAAATAAATAAATAAATAAATAAACAAACAAACAAACAAACAAATAAATAAATAAATAAATAAATAAATAGATAGTCGGTTAGATGATACTCCCTGAATCTTCTTAAAGATTTTCTGGTCCAAGCAATTAGGTAACTTTATTTGTACTAACTATCAATTGCCTGTGATTTGCCCTCAAAAGGAGTTGGGTTTGATATTTTTCCTAGAAAAACTTTTCTTAAAATAAGCAATTGAATTACAGTAATTTCATTACAACATTTTTCTATAGTAGCTTTTGTGCCAGATAACAAAAGTGAAGTCTCTTGAAGGTTTATTTCTAATAGTGAATTATTAAAAGCTATGCCATCATTACTTTAAAAACAAAGCAAGACAACTAGTATTTGATCAAGGGAATATTACCTTGGCAGGTTCGTTCATCAGTTAGGAGTTTATATCCTTTCTGGCAGCTGCATTCAAAGCTGCCAACAGTGTTTCTGCAGAAATGGTCACAGCCACCATTGTTTACCAGACATTCATCTATATCTGTCAGAAACATCAAAAGAAAATGAACGCAATATTAGTCTTATGATTTGCTGCAGAAGAGGGAGATGCCAAACTTTAGTGACCCTGCCCCCAATTCATGGGGACAGAAGGATTGGTTCTTCGTATTGCCCAGTAGACCATTCGCCTTAAATTCTACCAAAATACAGGAGAGCAAAAACTTTAATGTTTCAGAAAATTAACAGGGAAGAAATCAATTCCATGTGGATTTCTTACTCAAGAGAACTGAGATTAAAAAAAACACACTTTAAGAATAATATTGAGGAAAACAAGTAATGAGAATCTAAACTGCTGTTCTATTATGAGTAGGTCTCTCCTGTCCTAAAATAGTTACTTTTACAAACTTACTGAATATAGACTTGAACATCTATTAGTGCAGACTCTTAAGACTAAAATTATGTTTCTAATCACTCTATTTGTTATCTATTTGTGTTGAACAAACTTAATTGGAAGCCTCTATAATTTATTACTATGTCAAGTTCAGTATGTCCAAGACTCAACTTCTCAACTTTCTTCTCATTACCTTATTCTCCTTGTTTATTGAAAGCACAACCACAGTCAAAGAAACATGTGAATGTGCCTTTATCTTTGACTTAACTCTCTCCCCTTCTTTCCCCACATTCAGTCACTAACTAAGCCATTTCCTTTCCATTTGTCAATATTGCAGAGATATATCTGTTTGATGTATTTGCGAAGGCTTTCACGGCCAGCATCTAATGGTTGTTTCCACTCCCAAGCCAACTACACCAGAGCACAGAGTGCTGTCCTCTGAAGATTCCAGCCACAGAGACTGACGAAACGTTAGGAAGAACAACCTTCAGCCCGAAGAACCCACAACAACCATATATCTGTTTTCCCAGCAAGGACTTTAGTCCATATACTGGACAACTGGTCCCCCTGCCAAGACCAGTTAGTCCTCTCAGATCTTTGTCCCACCTCGGTCCCATCAAGTTTGGCCCTTCATCTTACTTGGCATTGATCCTATGATGTCTCTCATCAAATGCTTACACTGACCTCTAGTTCCAAGCTTCCTGTCCTTACACATTCAATCCATCACAGCCACCTGCTCTTATCTCCATAATTATAATCATAATTAGATGCCATCAAGTCAAATCTCACAAAACAGCACTTTCCATGATCTTCTAAATATAAAGTACTCAGAAGTGGTTCACCGTTCCCTTCTCCCGGGATGCTCTGGAACGATGCGGCTTGCACCAAGGCCACACAGGGTGGCTCTTCTCCTGGGGGCCAGTGGGGAATCAAATTTCCAGTACCTGGCTCTGCAGCCAGGTAGCCAACTTATACAGCCCTAACTGTGACCTTTGTTCCTACAACTCTCCGATCCTTCAAAAATATTTTGCTCTTTCAAAAGATCCTGCCTTTTCTTTCTTTCCACTCTGAATTCTTGGAGCTCCTTCCAGAACAACTGTGTAGTACTCCTCCTCCTGCATCTTTGAAAACCCTTCTCAAAGAAAATATTTTGTATGAAGCATATGGTCTGAGCCTTTAGTTCCCATGCAGTTAAGACTATAATGCATACAAGTACAGTACCTGTAACTAAAATAACTATACTCATGTAATTGTATGTTGCCTGTCTTGTGTTGAATTTCATACTGGAAACTCCTTAGGGCAATGACTTGTCTTACATTCTACGATATGCTAGAGATGGTAACCTTTGTGTTAGAATAAAAATTGTATGTAAATAAATGAATACAGCAGGCAACATACCCAGTAGCCCAGTTAACGTGACTGTCCTAATGTACTGGATGCTTTCCAGACTGAGAATTGGTTCTTCATGGAACTGGGATTCACTTTTTAATCAGAAAGACTGGAATATGTTGCTGCTTCTCTACTAATCTTGCCCTCTGTATCCAGTCCCTCTGAAGGAAATCACATGAACAACACATGCGGCATGGTAATAAAAGGGCCAATGCCTGATCACAAAGAGAAGAGTACGTCTGAAATTGTGGTACGAGAGTACAAATCCAATCCAGTGAAAATCCAGTAAAGCACCTGGGATGGATTTATGGGGTTTGGTTCCACTGACAGTTTTAAACAGGGGCCTCCAATTTACTGCAGATGTCAGCAGAGACTTTCCAAAGTCAGGTGAACTTCAAATTAACTGTACCAAATTATAAAACTGCTACATTTCAATGTTTAATGCTGCAATTCCAAATCAATAACTTTAGGCTGCTAACACTGACAATAAATACCAGGCCATGGAAAGCTTGAACATGAGGTCAAACTCTGGTCAGAGTGATCACTTTAATAATATAACACACAATAACTAACAGTTTGTTGGATTCTTTCTGCCTTAAGTGTTTTCCATATTCTGTTATTAATTCCACATACAGTGGTGCCCCGCTTGACAATGACCCCACTTGATGACAAAATTACTTTATGATGACTTTTTTGCGATTGCTATAGCAATCACAAAATGATGTTTCTATGTTTTTTTTTCGCTTAACGTTGATTCGGTCCCTGCTTCGGGAACTGTTTTTTTGCAAAACGACAGTTAGAAACAGCTGATTGGTGGTTTGCAAAAGGGATCCCCGCTGTTTTCTGGACCTGTTGTTTGCAAGACAGGGATCCCAAAATGGCTGCCCTATGGAGGATCTTTGCTGCACAAGCAGGTATTTCCCCTACTGGAATGCATTGACCGGTTTTCAATGCATTCCAATGGGTTTTCCCCCCCGCTTGACGACAATTTCGCTTAATAGCGATTTTCCTGGAACGCATTATGATCGTCAGATGGGGCACCACTGTAGTTCAGTATCATTTCACATGACTAGATTTCCACAAATATCTGGAAAATGAGACTTGAAGAAATCAACTTGAAGAAATCAAGCTGACTTGAAGAAATCAACTTTTCTTCAAAACATAAATATCTTCAGCCTATGGCAAAAATTAGTAGTGGCATAAAAACTGCTGAAAACAAGCAAACACAATTAACTCAGTAATAAAAATTAGTTTTAAGTTCTATCTGAAAGTATCACATAGGACTAAACATAAGATTTCATATAAGAAATACCATATTTTGTCTCTAAAATTTGATGTAAAACTTATATAGCTGTATTTTCAAGATTTAGATTAAAATTTTTAAAAACTGCATTCAGGGAAATGTATTTGCAGATGCTGAACTGTATGTGCATAGGTGACATGTATCTGTATGTTCATTAGTATCTATTCAGCATTTTTTGCTTATCTCAAGGATTGCCTAGTCTCTGGGAGAGAAATGTTCCAGGATTTTAACTTTTTCTTTAGAGAAAAGGGTAAATTTCAGCATCGTACTGCTTGTTCCATCTAAAGCAGACCCATTGACTCATCAGGACTGAATTAATTATTGTCTTGTTTCAGCAATGGATTCAAAGTATGTGTTCTACTCTTAATTGCCACTATCAATAGGATATTGGCCAAGGAAAGGAGCCAGCAACATGTGTTTGACTGCATTGTACTTTGTGTGTCCAACACAGAAGTGCCAGGCAAAAATGCTATCCTATGCTCCTAACAGGCAATATGTACTATAATCTCTTCACATCTCACCATGCTCTTCAGAAACTTTTGCACTGTCTTCACTGTAAACATATCTGAACCACAAATATTTTGATTTGTAAAATGGTACACTTTTTAATGCTTCAAAATTAAAAAAGCTGCAAACATTCTGTTTTTGAGTTTACACAAGTCTAAAGCTCTAATGTAAACCCCTATATTCCTTATTCTGTAGGACTTCTACACTTTATATTTATGCTACTTTTTTATTTTGCACCTAGGGAGCCCAACCAGAACACAAAATTGTTGCTTTATTTTATTCTTGTTTGGAAAAGACTTGGAATATCAATGGGAGAATAGAGAGGATCTAAAATAGCTGCGGAGAAATCCAAAAACAACAACCACAAAAAGACAGCTGAACAAATAGAACTGGTTCCCAGGTTTTTTCAGCCATATTATTTGTGAAGTAACAAAATAATAATGAAAACTGCTCCAGACAAGGTTTCTGTTCCAGCTGACCTTAGATACTGGGATAGAATAATGGCAGAACTGAATATTTGACATATTTCATATGATTTAGTATCATGCATCCAGATGAGAGTGAGTGAAATGGTAAAAGGTCTGAAAACCAAACCCTATGAGAAACAGTTGAAGCAGTTGGGTGTGTTTCGCATGGGGAAGAGAAGACAGGCAACATAACAGTCATTCTCAAACCTCTAAATGGCTATCGCCTGGAAAAAGGAACAATATCTTTTTCTGTAGCACCAGAGGTAGGGCTTTAACTGACTCAAATGACTGAAAATGTTGTTTTGACTAAACATTCAAAATTTTAGTTTCAGAAGTGTTCAACAAGGAATACAACCTTAGAAGACTGTGGCCTTTCCTGCATTGGAGCTTTTAAAGCAAAATTTTTGACACAGATGCTTTAGCTGAAGATTTCCTGATTTGGCAGGGGGGGGGGTTAGATTCCATTACATTTGGGCCTTCTCGCAGCTATCCAGTTCTATGAATGAGTACTTGCTTCAGAAGACAAATTTATTAGTTAGTATAAACAGACAGTGTTCCACCCCAGATGATTTTGACACAGATGCTTTAGCTGAAGATTTCCTGATTTGGCGGGGGGGGGGTTAGATTCCATTACATTTGGGCCTTCTCGCAGCTATCCAGTTCTATGAATGAGTACTTGCTTCAGAAGACAAATTTATTAGTTGGTATAAACAGACAGTGTTCCACCCCAGATGATGAAGAAATGCTACCTTAACACCAACCAAAAAGACTTGGATTGAAATAATAATTTCTCTGATGCTGTTTGAAACCAAGACCTTTGAAAAGGAGGGAGGTCAAAGCTGCTAGCTGGAAAAACATTCTAAGCATCATAAATAACACTGTGCAGCAGTTCCCACAATATTTCTTGCCAGAGCTGTATTGAGACTGAGGCATGTAAAAATTATTTCACTCTATGGAGGGTAATGTGCTGAATTGTTTGACTTGAA